ACTAACCACGGGTCCAGGTAGTGATGTGGGTACCCGGGTCCTACTGAGGACCCACCCGACCAGAGTACCAGAGTACCAGAGTACCAGAGTACCAGAGTACCGTCCCGGCCCCACAGACATCACTTATCAGTGATGTCACCATTGTTGATATATGATTGTTATCCTAAACTGTTGTTTTGTTGATCATTATGCATTACAAACTGTATTCATAGTAATAAAGAAACTAAACACTGATTCATGATTATGGAATTTATCTTTGAGATACGACAGAAACATTTTTAGATATATTCTTTTGCTTTCAGAGTTCCACGTTTTATTGGATTGTTTGCAGAATATACCAGGTTTACAAGCTGAATGGTTTTGATAACGCTATAAAATCCTTTTTCTTTCGTGTAGGAAGTGCCATGAGGACATGGAGGGATATAGGCACTTTTTGTCCCACTGGAAATGTCAAATTTTGAAGAAACAGAAATATTGGTATGAAAATATTATAACATGTTCACATAGCTGTTTTCTTTCTTACACTTGCAAGGTTTGGACTTCTGACAAGATCAAATACACAAATATGGGTAAATTGAGTGAAAAAGGCATGTGTAGAAATTCACATGAAAGTCTGAATGTTTTAGCAAGTCCGTGTCTCAAGACAAATGTTTTTGTTTTTTCTTGTAATGTTTTTTGGTATATCTCCTATGAAATCAGCTTGGGTCAAAGGCCATGCTGGGCCACGTTGGCGGATGCTGGTGTACACTCCCACAGATGCTCTATTGGCGACATGTCAGGGTACGAGCGGGCCAGTCCAAAGTCTGTATGCCTTCTCGTCAGGGAGATAATCGACATTGACCTGGGCATGATGTGGTCTGGTATTGTCATCTTGCTGTTAAAAATTTCTGCTGATAATTCTAAAATGGATCAACAACAGGATGAAAAATTTAGTCAACATATCTCTTGCCAGTCAAATGTCCATTCACAATAACCAAATCAGTTTGTCATGTGTGATACGGATCCTTTTCCGATCATGGTCAAGAATTGTTTCCCCTGCCATATTGCTCGCTGCTACATCACCGTTTTCTGCCATCTGTGAATTGGAGGAAAAACCTTGAATCGTCTGTAAACATTGGCGCAATTGGCACACAGCCCATCCCTGATGTTGCCTAGCCCACCCCAATCTTTGCCTCCTTTGGTAAGCTGTTAGGTCACACCCTTCTCAGGATGCCTTGCTTTCAGGCAGTCTGCATAGAGCTGGTTTTTAATGGGAGATGCTGAAATTCACCTTCCTGTTATTGTACATTATTGTCATTGTTTTCTCTATTGCTAACAGGAACAGATTTGAATCTATTGCGTTGTTCAAATTAATGTAATGAGACGATCTTGACTATGTCAATTTTTTAGGCCTGCCACGCCCAGGTCTCATTGCAACCCCACCCATTTGACAGTACTCGTCCCACAGTTGAGAAATTACACTTTTTGTTTGCCAAACATTGGAAGTTGGGATTAGACATTCCCCCCTCTAACGTTCCCACAATTCACCATTGTGTCTGTTCATTGAGATACTGTCTCGATGGCATTCTTTAAGCGTGTGCTCAGCTCAGTTGTATTAGTGATTGTGAGTTCCCCTATAGGCGCACACACTTTGGCTTCTGTGTGCATGTGCATCACAGACCGTTCATGCTTGATGTGACATTTCATTGCAATTAGATGTTCCGTTGAAACACCATGGTGTTGTAAATGTACACCTTAACGATAGTACTTTCAAGTCATTAGATCCCTAATTTTTGGTTGAAAGTATGAAAAGTACCCAGGTAGTGTAGTAACATGATTATATTGCATACTTCAGTGTGAATATTTCCGGTAGGAAACATCAAAACTCTCTGAGGGGTGGTCGGGTAGCCTAGTGGTTAAAGAGTTCGCTCGTCACGCCAAAGACATGGGTTCGATGCCCAACATGGGTACAATGTGTGAAGCCCATTTCTGGTGTCCCCTGTCGTGATATTGCTGGAATATTGCTAAAAGTGGCATGAAACCATACTCACTCACACTCAAAACTCTCTGTGGCGTGTATTATGTGCACTCCCTTCTACAGAGCTGTGTGTTGGGGGGAAAAAGTGTGCACTGTACTCAAGAAAATGTGGCAGGATGCAATATGTGTAGTAACAAATACCCAAACAAATAATGAACAACCACCAGGTGTAGTATAAGAAATATTTATTTCTAGTAATGGACGGAATGTCAGAATGCTTCTATGTTAACATCTAATGTTTAAATACAAGAAATATCACATAACAAAAGCATTGGCAATCTATCGATACATAACTCAATTGGACTAATAATTAACACCCTTAACATACAAACACTAAAGATAATTTTGTACTCTCCCACAAAATATTGATCACTTGTTTAATATAAAATCATTTTTTCACATTATTGTTCCAGAAGGATAATATATATGAAAATACATATTCAATTTGTTTGTAATATTTGACAAAATGGCCACAAAAATAAAATTAATTTGTTCTGTGAATTTAGGCATGAGATAATCAGACACAACAATGACTTTTTGTCACACAGACATTCCTTATCATGAGAGTACGTATTTACTGCTGATATTGTTTTCTCGTCCTTCGAGTTCAATATGATTATACGTTTTCACTGTGTTTCAGTATCTAAACAGCCTCGGCAAGTTTCTCTTGTTTATTTGTCACAGATTTCTACCCTACTTAAAGCTGCACTGGCAGATGCAATGAAGGAGCGGGGGGTGACAGGGGTGCACAATCCTGTGGTTTTATTCACTTTCTTGGGTATAGTGTGCATTCTCCCTTTTTTCTGCCACTGAACTGTGCACCCCTTTATTCAGACCCACATCAATCAATTGTGTGGTTGTGTACACTTTGAGGCAAGGGTAGTGTGTCTCCCCATTAACCACATCCTTCATCTGCATTTGAGCTGATTTGTTTCTGTGTAGAATAATATTAAAATAACTACAAATTGTTTGAAGAACATTTTCTAGCAGAAAAAAGCAATTTGGCTTCAAGGTCACTCATTGCAACAAGGTCACTACAGTGCATTAGGCATGATTCAGTGTATATTTGAAGTGTATTTGGTCTGTTTGCTATAAGCTGGTATGTACATTTATTGGTCTTGGCCTATCACAGCAGCGCAGGATGGAATTATAGTATCACAGTCAACAACAGTAACAAGGACAAATATACAATATCATAAAGCAAAGGTATGACATGACATAAGCTAGAGTAATATCAACTATGATGACAAATATTCAAACTAGATATTGTATCAGGCACCTGAATAGATTCGATTCCAGAACAGAACACTTGGTGCACTGTTATTGAAATTATATGGACAAACTCATGGTCTCAATTCTGTGAAATCATCATCATCCATGAAACCCTAATGATATTGATACCTTCTATGCTACTCCACTTTTGATAGGGATACCCCCATCTGACGAGCCCTGTCAAATGTTGAATAGTATATATAGTTTACTGAAAGCCATTTAAAGCCAGACCTATTTAATCACTTGATTTACAGGGCCCCGTTCCTCAAAGTAATCTTAGCGCTAATGTGATTGTAAATCCCATACTTAAACATAGGCTTACAATCATTGTAGCGCTAAGATCACTTTGAGGCACGAGTCCCAGGTCAGATCCGCCTGTTCTTTTTTTTGTCATTTTTCTGAAAACATAAGCATATCCAAATTTAGATAACTGACATTCAGCTGGTTCTTTCCTTGCTGTCTCCAGGAAATATTTCATTGAATAACAGGATAGCATTTTCCCCAAAAATATTAACCTTAAAAATGGGTGTCTATTTGAAGACAAAAACACAGAAATATGTAAAATGCAGAGATAAATTTATTAGCTGCTTTTGTTTTCACTTTTATATTTTTTCATGCTGCCTTCAGGTATTTGGGGGTCACGATCTGTAAACAAGTATTACAACGGTCTGGCATTATTGTGACACCAGTCAGTGTAACCCACGGAAACATTTGCAGGAGTAATATAAAACTCTTATCTCAGATTCTAGAAGAAATACACTTACTGATTGCCTACAAAATCAATATTCATGCAACAAAGGGCTTTATGTCTGAAACAAATTTGATTAACTGTCCATCATAACCTAAATCCCTTTTCGAAAAAGAAATTCAACTTCTTTTGATAGTGATTTTATTATAGTATCAAACCTTCCAACCAAGGTTTTAAAAAGACAAAATATTAAGACTCTGTGAACTTGGCACTGGTAATGCACTGTTCAATACAATTTGGGGCAATAAGTATGATATATAATGTGCATCCCAGGCATAGGGTGAACGCGAGGCACAGTCATCGTAATTCGCGATGCAGAGTTGTATCCCTTGGGCATGCCGGAAGCTTGATTGTGGGTTTGAATCCCAGTTTGCCCCAATTATGTTCTAGTTTGTCAACACCATACCCGTGCCTGTGGGTTTCACTGAGGAGGCAAACGTCGGAGACCTGCATCACTTTGGGTTTTCCTCCAACATTAACCTGACACGCTGTGATATAACTGGAATACTGTTAAAAGCAGCTTTAAACACAACTCCCTCACTCACTCCTCACCCCTTGATTAACAACAATCAACTTGCTATGGCCTAAATATAATAAGCATCTTTACATTTCAGCTCTTAAAAGCATATAAAACACATACACATACAAATAAAATAATTTTTAACTGTGTATAGTAATAGAAAAATACATAAACATTTTTGGATGACAAAGTTTGCTTATAGAATTGTGCATATCTGTGCATAGTTCATACATAAACAAAAATAAACATGTATTTAATGAGTAAGTTGTCAGTAGCCACGTGATTTTAGAGGTCCTTTGGTTTTAAACCCAGATACAAAAAATACATTCCTGCATAGTGTTTGGGGGATATATATTGTTTCAATTCAAACAGCTACATCAACTCCTTTGAAGACTGTTTCAAATGGTTTCCTGCCCTTTTGTACCCTTTTGGTTATGCTGCAATTTTGATTAAAATCAATAAACTTAATTAACTCAAACAATGTAAACATTCAGTCAATTTTGAAAGTGCTGAAAATAGAACTTAGTCATATCTTTATAGCTGACAGCATTATAAAACTGTCCACTGTGTACATTGAAACCCTGTTAATCCAATAACCTCCACTATTAGCTCATCCAAATTTCCCGAAAAACGAATCATCAATAAGTAGTAAGGCCTTACATTTTTTTTAATTGGTTTACAAAACTTACCTACGAAAAACTTAAAAGAAAAACGAGTTACTTCCCTTGTCATCCATGTCCTGGATCTTTTGGAAACATGGTGTCGTAAATATTTGTTGAATTTTTCAGATTTTATTTTTCGACTACATACATTGAATTTTCAGCCAAATTGTTTGTAAACCAACTAATAAAAACCATAAGACCTGATTCTAGCTGTAATTGCCTGGAAAGAAGGATTCCAGAATAACAGTGTCCAGATTAATGGGGGTTCACTGTAGATGAGTTGTGACTTGGTGCTACCACTCGGAGAATAGTGGCGGGCGTGGCATGGGCGGAAGGTACTGGTGGTGCTGGGATTGAACTTGGGTGAGACCCTGCTGAAACCGAGACCGGGGCTTCATGAAGGGGCTGGGAGGCGGAGACGTTGTGCCGGGGTCCTGGAACATGGATAATATACAAGCATTACTTCAGCTGCTGAGGTGTCTAAAACATGGATTATGTACAAATGATACATTATGGTCTGGAAGGTAATTTAAGGTACCAACGTTTACTACAATATCTGAAAAACTATTGGACCTACTCCAGTCAAAGTTGGTATGAGATTATATAACAGTCATACATAACTGGACATTACATTTAAAGACAAGCGATTCATGAATAAAACTCAACTCGAAAGGGTGCACGGGAATCACGCACGTTGAGACGCCCAACGCTTACACTGTATTCGTGCGTGCGTGACACCTGTGCACCCTTTCGAGTTGAGTTGATTGGTTCAACTGTGTCATATGGCCCTGTGACGCAGGGGTAGCATTATGCAGATGGCGGTTTCAATGAATGCTTGTTCCACCCGTGACGAACACGTCTGGTTGTTGATGAAATATAGTGATAGCTAAATAGACAGATTTTTTATTCATGCACCGATTGTCTTTAAATGTAATATCCAGTTATGTATGACTGTTTAACAATCTCATACCAACTTTGACTGGAGTAGGTCCAATAGTTTTTCAGATATTGTAGTAAACGTCGGTACCTTAAATTACCTTCCAGACTATAGCTGTTGAGGTGTCTAAAACATGGATAAGGTACATGTATGTGTTGTAGCTGTATAGAGTATTTGAGTCTTACAGTAACACTGTGACCATCGGAGGGAGATAAGCTCGACTTGAGTCAGGAATTTATTTTAGAATGTAGAACTTAAAATTGTTTTCACACAGCATAAGATGGACTCAAATCATCTATATTGTGTAATGTTTAACAAAACAAAGCTGATTTGTAAATAAAATAAAAATGCAAACAAAGGTATTGGGAATGTTTTGAAACAACTCGGAATGGTATCTTCTATGCACCTATAAACATGAGGCCCTCCATGACAAATCTTAAAGTCTTCTAAAAAATATTCAGTTTGTTTTAATATTTTCTTAACCAAATTACAAAGATGCAATACATGAAGGACTGATATTATATCACAGAACAGGCAACTAAACAGTGTAAACAACTAGAGGTCGCCCTTCAGGACCTGCATGAACAACTCCAGGTCACACCTGATGAGCTGCATGAACAACTCCAGGTCACACCTGAGGAGCTGTATGAACAACTCCAGGTCACACCTGAGGAGCTGCATGAACAACTTCAGGTCACATCTGAGGAGCTGTATGATCAACTCCAGGTCACACCTGAGGAGCTGTATGAACAACTAGAGGTCACACCTGAGGAGCTGCATGAACAACTCCAGGACACACCTGAGGAGCTGTATGAACAACCCCAGGTCACACCTGAGGAGCTGCATGAACAACTCCAGGTCACACCTGAGGAGCTGCATGAACAACTCCAGGTCACACCTGAGGAGCTGCATGAACAACTCCAGGTCACACCTGAGGAGCTGCATGAACAACTCCAGGTCACACCTGAGGAGCTGTATGATCAACTCCAGGTCACACCCGAGGAGCTGTATGAACAACTCCAGGTCACACCTGAGGAGCTGCATGAACAACTCCAGGTCACACCTGAGGAGCTGTATGAACAACTCCAGGTCACACCTGAGGAGCTGCATGAACAACTCCAGGTCACACCTGAGGAGCTGTATGATCAACTCCAGGACACACCTGAGGAGCTGTATGATCAACTCCAGGTCACACCTGAGGAGCTGTATGAACAACTCCAGGTCACACCTGAGGAGCTGCATGAACAACTCCAGGTCACACCTGAGGAGCTGTATGAACAACTCCAGGTCACACCTGAGGAGCTGCATGAACAACTCCAGGTCACACCTGAGGAGCTGTATGATCAACTCCAGGTCACACCTGAGGAGCTGTGTGAACAACCCCAGGTCACACCTGAGGAGCTGTATGAACAACTCCAGGTCACATCTGAGGTGCTGTATGAACAACTACAGGTCACCACTGAGGACCTGGTTTATCTACAGGTCAAAGGAATTGTTGCTCTTATGCTATTGATTAAATTGATCAATTTATTCTTATCTAAAGACATTTATGACTTTAAGAAAAAAACATCTTCCTTTCTCGTCAGGCTCTGACAGCAAATCCAATCAACACTATGAGGATGGTTATGTGTTAATGATCATTAATCACTGATGTTATACCACACACAAGAGCAAACTATACAGGTGATTGTTTCATTATGTAACACTCAGTACATAACAGTAGCATCACGTTATAGCAAACATGTTTTCCCAGACAACACTGAACTGGGAAAAAACATACCTACCCTGCAAAATATACTTTCCGAATTATACATACAGTAACATATATCAGCTTTGTCTTAAATACCATCATAATTCAACGCCTTAAGTTATTTGTACAGACCTTACTCTCCAATGCCCAGCACTTTGTGCTTCAAGTAATCCAATTTTATCATCAAGCAAACTAAAGAAAAACACAGAAGTGAAAAGGAGAGAACTGCAGGTTTTTGCAGGTCATGTGACAGTCATGTGACACACCTAAGCAGTGAAGCGCACTAGCGAGGAGGAAGGTCGGTTGTCTTTGCTAGCAGAGAACTCTTGTTGCAAGGGAGAGAGGAAGGGAGTTGGTGGTCCGAACCGGATTGTACCAGCCTAAAACAAACAGGAATCAAGTCTTGTATGGAAGCCAGGTCTATTTTGATTCTCATCTCCTGCCATGCCTCGAAAAGTTTCAACAATGTGTACTCTGTCACAAAATTAATCTGAATAAAAGGTCAGTGGATTGACTTTTTACCTCAGAAAAGTTATTTAGGAATGATGTAATCAAATGTTCTAGTTGTATGTGCCTTCTGAAGTTTTGTTATTTCTAATCGATGTTCTTTTTTTGTGCATTTCCACTTTTCAATCATGTCAGGAGAAGAAAAACCAAAAAAAATAAAACAAAAACATAAGGGGGGGAAATGTCATGAAGTCACATTCCTAACAGTGAACCAAGAACAAAGTTGGTGTCAAAATCTCTTTTCCAATGAGACAATATTTGCCATAACTTGCCATTGGACGGCTACATGGCATACTCTGATTTTGGAGGAAAAGATTGTAGAGCCATCCTCCACCGATTATAATCCCGATCCATACAAAAAGAAATCTTGCTGCCATTTTGAATTTCAATCATAAATTGTCTCACAAGTAATCTTCCCAAATAACATTTACTCATTGGTGTTAGAAATTAATATGGGTCATGGGGTCCTTGTATTCTCCTGCTGTAATTGAATTGGGGGACCCTGCAAAACTTTGAGTTATGACATCAGGGTTATATGACAAGAACCCCTTGAGTTTCATTCTAAATATTGAACACTGCTATTGATACCACACACTGCATGAGCTGTGAGTAATCTGTTACATCTGTTACATCTGTTATTGCAAGTTAGCAGATTAGGCAGCCATGCTGTATGGAACTGAAGCAATGAGACGTTAATGATGAATGAAACAATCATATGATGTTTTCAAACTGGGATCACAGCAAAATAAACAAAGCTTTCATAATAATGCGGACTGCAATGCACACAGTAAGGCAGCAATATACATGCGCTGCGGAACATGCGCGCCTTGAAGTGTTCGCTGCTGCCGCCATCACATCGCCACAGGGCCCTGGTCCAAGATGTAGGAGAGAAAGCTCGACTTCTGCAAATACCAGGTTCATCTCTAGCTCACTAGGCTCTAGCACATCTAGCAAAGGTCAACACTCCTACTCAACTTTCATGCAGGAATTAAACTAAAGCACTAAACCACTAACCACTACTTTAGTGAGTTTGGTTTGACGCTGCTTTAAACAGTATTCCAGTTATATCACAGCATATCAGCTTAATGTGGGAGGAAAACCAGAAGTGATGCAGGTCTCAGACATTTACCACTTTGATGAAACCTGCTATGGTGCTGAAAACTGAGAAACATAATCGGTGCAAACAGGGATTCAATCCCTCGAGCCGCTACCTTAGTTTTAATTGATAGATCCGTGTAGTAATGAATGATACATGTGAAAAACATTTGAAAGTTTAAATAAACAGTTATGACAGGAATAAAACATATCTGAATGAAGGTTTCAGTCATCAGAGGATCTTAACTTGCTTTGGAGTGAGTGAGTGAAATTGGGCAAAACACTAAGAGGTTTCACTGTATTTCAATGGGTGGTGGGTGATCGTGAGGGTTTACAGGTACCCATGTTGGCGGTGGGTGATCATCAGGGTTTACAGGTACCAATGTGGCTGGTGGGTCATCGTGAGTGTTTACAGGTACCCATGTTGGTAGTGGGTGATCATCAGGGTTTACAGGTACCCGTGTGGCTGGCGGGTGATCATCAGGGTTTACAGGTACCCATGTGGGTGGTGGGTCATCATGAGTGTTTACAGGTACCCATGTGGGTGGTGGGTCATCATGAGGGTTTAACAGGTACCCATGTAGGTGGTGGGTCATCATGAGTGTTTACAGGTACCCATGTGGGTGGTGGGTCATCATGAGGGTTTACAGGTATCCATGTGGGTGGTGGGTCATCATGAGGGTTTACAGGTACCCATGTGAGTGGTGGGTGATCGTGAGGGTTTACAGGTACCCATGTGGCTGGTGGGTGATCATCAGGGTTTACAGGTACCCATGTGGCTGGTGGGTGATCATCAGGGTTTACAGGTACCCATGTGACTGGTCGGTGATCAAGAGGGTTTACAGGTACCAATGTGGGATGTGAGTCATCATAAGGGTTTACAGGTACATATGTGGCTGGTGGGTGATCAAGAGGGTTTACAGGTACCCATGTGGGTGGTGGGTCATCAGGGTTTACAGGTACCCATGTGGGTGGTGGGTCATTATCAGGGTTTTCAGGTACCCATGTGGGTGGTGGGTCATCATCAGGGTTTTCAGGTACCCATGTGGGTGGTGGGTCATCAGGGTTTACAGGTACCCATGTGGGTGGTGGGTCATCATCAGGGTTTACAGGTACCCATGTGGGTGGTGGGTCATCATCAGGGT